GTGGACTATGAGTCGCTCCCTCAGCCTAAGGGCTAAAAGCGCTGAAACTCACAAAAGACCTCAGCACCATATAAGACCTAGTCGCCTCATCGACATAGGTGAAATACTTTTAATGCCCAAGGCGTAGGCAGCTCGGGTATGAGCCCTATGATGCGTAGCCCGCTCCAGAATACAACAGGGTGCACCCATCAGGGGCAATCAACGTCTATTTAAGTAGCCCGTGTGCAGACAGGTCGGGTATATACTCTACTACGTCGCTCACCTCGGTGTACATCATGAAATTGGCCCTAAGTACTGGGTGACAGTTCGGGGTGACGACAATTGAGAAACCGCCCACTACGGTTGTCTAGCTCGATAGCTCAACCGTTTGGGGAAAAACCACTACGGTCAGAAAAGGTTAATTGCACGACACTTAGCAAAAAAATGTATTTCATTATAAAGAGTTCATTACAAAAAAAAAAATACCGAACTCGTAGGCTCGAAGTACAAAGAACTATTAGGGGCACTCATCGCCCTCGCCCGAAGCCTCAACAGAAGAACCAGCCTTGTCGTTGGCACCAACTTTGTCGTCGGCACCGGCCTCTTCAATGTCAAGTAGCTCACCATCACTCTCCGCCTCGAAGTCCGGGTCTCCAGCGGCCTCAAGGGCCATCTCTTTTGTGACCCGTGAAGTAGTGATGGCACTCATATCGAGCTGTGGGAACTCGCGCTTGGTCAGCCATCTACTAAGCTTGAAGCTTTTACGGTAGACCTCTGATCCAGCCTCGATCAACTCTCCCTCGAACTCCGTTGAGCTCTTATAATCCTCGATGGCCTTGACCTTTGTTTCCTCTATGGCCTTGAGAAGAATCTCAGTTCGCTCCTTGACGTCGGCCTCGAGGTTCTCCACCCGGTGCTTCGGATCCGCCTTCTCCGACATGAGCCTCGTAGGACGAACTCTCAGAAGCTAGAGCCTGCTTCAAGTGCTGCTCGGATTGGTAAGTCAAGGCGTGCATGCAGTGTTCACCTACCAAGAGTGTAAATTAGTACCAGGAAAGCTACAAATACAAAAATCAAAATAGAACAAGACTTACCACCATGCAGTGGGTAGCCGCCCGAGCCCCAAGCTGAGCAGGCGTTAGTTTAGCCCAGCTTGAAACTTCCTCAGCATACACAACTCCTTTGCTCTTACGGAGGCTGCATTGCGGGGTCAAGATACTCTGAACTGTTTCTTCGCTCCCTAAAGAAGCAATAGTGGTCGTAGGGGCAGGTCCCGAAGATGTCTCGGGCGCACGAGGTGGGGCCTTCTCCGACTCCTCCAAGTTAATCACCGGAGGCGCACTGGAAGGCTGTTCGGGCTCAGGAATGGCAGGTTGTGGAGACTCAGTACGAGCTCTTTTAGTAGCTCACTTCTTCTTTCCTTTCATTCGCCCAAAAAGCTTGTCCGCACTGAGCTTCATGGGAGCTGCAACAAAACTTGGCGTTAGTGACGTCGACAAGAATAGAGTACCAGCTATCAAAATAAGATACCAACTTTAAACTAAGACAACCTACCAGGACTCAAGCCGGCCTGCACGAGCTTATCTTCTGCGATGTAGTCCGCGAAGTTGAGGCTGAGCTCCGCCCAAGACTGGAGCATCTCCCTTGTCTCCAGGTCCATTCTAATATCGGAATCCTGAACGGCCGCCATCCAATGGGTTGGAAAGGGCCATCCCCCGGAACTGCGGACCACAAAGTAATCTCGCTTCCAGGCTGGGATCCTATTGGGTAGATCGTGTAAAAGTTTATAGCCTGGGCGAGGGGATAGATAGTAGGTCCGCCTATGCTCGGGGAGAACACAAGAAGCATTCTTCTTGATGAACAAAATAGAGGAAAAGGTATCGAGGTCGAGAGGCAGGGCATAATCATAGAAGAGTGAAATGGTCCCGACTACGTTACGGATAGAGTTCGGGTGAAGCTGGTTTATGGTTACGTTAAAGAACTTTGAGACCTCTACTATTAAAGGGTGTAAAGGAAGATGGAGACCAGCCGCGAGCTGCACTCCAAAAATCACGATCTCATCGTGACCGTGCTCCCAAGGGAAGTTTCCTGAGGGAAGACTATAGGTGTACTCACCTGGGAGGTTGTACTGATACATTAAAGCCCTAAGTTTGTCCACAGTCATCGTCGAGGGACCGAACTTGTCCGGCACCCGACCTCGATGAGAAGTGGACGCCGGTTTATCCGTGGTCTCTCGCAACTCCCAAGATGATTGCACCTCGGGAGGACCGACCTGAGCCGAGGTACCTTCCTCGGGCTCATCTAAAAGACTATCGAAACTAAGATTGGACATAACTACGAATTGAACTAAATTGAAAAGAAAGGCTAGGAAAGACTCACCCAGAAAAATGACCGAACTAGGAAAATGGCGAATTGGGAAACCCGAGCTAAAGAGTCTAAGCACGACCTCTGAGTGAAGGCTAGTGAACTTATGGCGAAGAAAAATGTCTCGGGTCCCCCTATTTATTGCCGCTATGTCTGAGAATCAATGATCAAGATCAAAGCAATCCAATGACTCTCAAGAAAACTGGTTGTGCGACCCCCGAGGTTGAAATCGGTTTAGCGCGTTTTTTGGCATCCGCGGAATTTATAGATCACGTGACATCCGCGCGTAAACCGTACATAACCAGGGTTATCCTTGATTGAGTCGAGCAGCGAACTGGTCCTACCGACGAATTATCCGACTGGATGGCCTAGACTTTGAGCCAAATCTACCCGTCATGTCGTGAACTCCCCACACCAGGTCAGGACCCCTGGCTCGGGGAGTGGGGGGCAATTGATGGAGGGTGATTTGGCCCGACCTCATAATAAGGGGACACATGGACATGACTCGACATAGGTGACAACTTGGCATAGCTAGCTCGCTACAAAGTGATACTCCACTACCCCGAACTAAGGGTTCTTCGAGTTGAAATCATCCCGAGCTAAGGGCACCTCGGTACCAGGTCGTGGCACCAGTACATAATTCAGTTCGACGTGTACGGGCCTTAGCTTGAGAACATCAATTCGAGGTAGAAACCAGCTCGGGTATTCCGATCTGCCCTCAATATAACCCTGAAAGTCACTCCAACAGTTCCCGAATTTTGCGAGATCACACCTCGTAACAACTAAGCATTATCTCCCCGTCCGATTCGAGCGGAAGTGATTAACTTATCAACTGATAATGCTATCTCCAGTTAACGTGAAAACAGATTCTATCATGGAAATGATCTCGGAACTACTCCGCGAAGCCCACAAGGACTCCACTATATACAGGCCTCCCTCCAGGGGCCCAAGGTACACACGCAATTACTGCTAACTAGCTCTCTTGCTTTCTAATCACTTTCAACTCGCACATATTGACTTAAGCATCAGAGCGACCTCGTCGAGTAAGCACCCTCGGGTTCTCTGATTCTTTCTGTGCAGATTCTCCACGTCCGTCGTCTACTGGGAGCCAAGTCACCTCTAGCTAGGAACAACCAGATTGCGTCGCATCAAGTTCAATTAACTGCATTTTCCAATTCAGTTTTTCGGTTTTTCGATTTTTCATTGACACCCCTAGGTGGCGTGGGAAGTGGTTAACATGGCCATTAACTACAAGGATTCCCCAATCATCATAGAAGGAGACTCAAAGCTCGTAGTTAATTGTCTTAGAAAGAAGGTGCAGTCCCCGTGGAATCTGGATAACATCATCAAAGAGTGCCTCAATGTAACAGTGTGGATCAATGCAAGCATCTCATTCAGACATGTGTATCATGAAGGAAATCAAGCTGCGGACTGGCTCGCTAGGAATTTCTCAATCTATCACTCCAGTTAATGCTAATTGTATCCCATATGATCTTAGTGTAATTTGTTTTCCTGATTCTTGTGGAAGAATTACCCCCATCTTGTGTAACTCATATTTTGCCTATAAAAAAAGGGAGAATAACGGTTCAGCCCAATGTCAGAATCATAGGTTCAAAGTACAGTTGGGGTAGGTGCCAGTTCAGAATTAATGCCAATTCACGAGCAGGCATTGCGCATAAAGTGGGGATAATTGACCTTTCGAAATATTGTAGATCTGCAGTGGAAATCAGAATTCTGCAATGGGTTTCGGCCAATCCAGCCTTGGCGGTACGACGGACTGGGCTTGTTTCGGGCTAGGGTGTCTTCGTCTCTTAACGAGTCAAACAACAGAATACAGTTCAACATTCTCGATGGCAAAATAGTTAATAGTGAAGGCTAGACAAACCTGGGGGCAGGAACACCCCACGAACATTTGTTTCACCAAAAAAAGAGTATGAAACCTTGTAAATCTGTAAAATTTCAGTGATATTTTTGCCTCTTAAGGGTCCAAAAAAATTGTTTTCCAACCTTTTACACTGAAATTAATGCAGCATAAGGGGGGGCGGACAAATAAAGCAATGTACATATGGAGTACTTGACACAATACATATAGTTAGGCTTTTCAAAGCAGCTAAGCTAAATTTTGGTTTCTCTCCAAATAGAAATGTAATGGTATGACCTTCAATAACCATTATGGGCAAAGTTTTGGTATATGGATGGCCCATGAATCATAAAGTGGATATTTGTTTTAGGTTTCGTAATAGGCCATAAAAGTTAAATCCAAATATCATATATCATATTTGGTTAATACTTATTTGCACATATGCATTACCACGTGATCCTAATAACCTTTGGAAATCAGATGAGATGAATTCCCTTCACTCTTACGTTTTCCCACCAAACTATACCAATGTCTTTGGACGGAGATCCAACCTGCTACACTCATAGTGGCTACTAGGAGAACTCTAACATGGCCACCTCCATCCTCTTTTACATTTAAAGCTGGTAAGTGTTAGTTAGCCCAATAAATTTTAGTACTCCCAATATCAAACTTCAACTCCTCAATGACAAATGCTAATTCTCCATTTATGTTTATTTTTTCTTTCCCAACTCAAGTTTATGCAAAACTTGAAAGAAATTTTAGAATAATTTGCTGTTAGAATTATAATTAGGTTCAGTGATCAAAATTACACAACTTGAAATTGAAGAGAGATGGCATGCATCTCAAAGAAGCAACCTCTTTTACATATAATGAGTTTTTGAAAAAACAATATCCTCCCAATGAAAGCACTAATGTAGGCCACTATAACTGAAATGCAAAAGGAGGCTTTTTCCAAAAAAAAAAAATCAAGAGTCAAAAGTAAATAGCCATATCCCAACAATTGATTCCAGAAGGAACCGTTATTGTCAAAAAATTATCTTCACTTTTGAACTGAAATTCTTCTTTCTTACCGTTCATAGTGCAAAATTTGGGTCTTACACTACAATATGCCCCAAAACGACCTGGCCCTCTCCCCTTTATATTTATACCACATTGAGATGAGTCAGAGAAGAATTCCATTTCTTCAATAGCCCCTCCAGAATTGTACATTTCTGTTAATCCAATTGGTGCAAACTGAACCCTTTGATCGTAAAGCTGCATAAATGACAATGTTAGAAGTTTCAATATCAAAAAGGGAAAAAGTGGATAATAAAATGAATTGATTTATTGGAAAAGACGAAGAGTTTGTTAAGTAATGGGGGCATTTACCAATCACTTGGAATGAAATGATTTATTGGATCTTCCAGTGTATTTGAGAATGTAAATTAATAATCTAAAGCAGTAGGGGTAAATTAAAATGCAATGGACATTCAGGTAGTGACTCTGCTTCTTAGGCTGAACTTACGGATTCAAATACAATGGATAACTAAAATGAAGTGAATTTTTTCTACCTTAGTTTTTATACTTATTGACTAACCTTGATTGGAGATATAGTAAACACATCACATTGCAAGACTTTCAATGATACATCCAAGAATCCTTTCTTTGGCAATCTAGACAGAGATCCTGAAGTTGCATAAAGAAAAACATAAATGTCATAGATCTGTCAATAAATTGATGAATGAAGAACCCGGCAAGATAATTCATTTAAATCTTGAAAACCAGATGCATCTCCAAGACAATTCAATAAAAATGGAAAGCAAACTTCATATATTCCATGGGTGCAAAATTCATAAGACAAAACTGTACCTGAATTAAAAGAAAAGACTGCACAATCTCCTGTCCATGTGTCTCCACAAATCTCTTCAAAATACTCAATATCAGCAGGGCTAACATGTCCAGATAGCTCGGGATCGCTACTGTTCTGAACATTCTTATCCAAACATGGCCAGATTCCTGCACCTTGGCAATTGAAAATGCCTAGAATTCCAGAAAACTTGTTCAGATTCCAAATCTTCAGAAGACTGCAATGTAGATGCCAGAGAAGCACATGAGGATAGATAAAAGAAATAGATTCATCATCCATTACACCAAGTAAAAAAAAATAAAATAAAAAAGCTACCTCTTCCCATCTGTAACTGGATCATTAAATAAGCAGTCTCGTGATGGCCTCCCAGGGTATTTAGCTCTAAGAACTGATCCATCGGGAAGTACAAGCCTTTTAAGTATCTCGAAATCATGATGGCCAGGTTTGTCACTAATACAAAGAGCAAGTGTATGTTGTTATCAAGTAAATTCTTCAAAGGCATCATTATCATTATTTGGATGTCACAAAACAAAGTTGGCAATGGTCTAGTAAACGCTATGTATTAGGAAACAAAATCAACGGACTGCGCAGAATCTAAGTATTGAAACCCATGTCCTTTTTGGCCTCAATTATTCTCCATCAACTTGCATCAGATAATTCTTATTGTTGAAGGGGTTGGTCGTTTATGTTTCTACCCAAATCATCTTACTCTACTTTCCCTCATTTTATCTCCTGTTGGGACAACTCCTAAAATCCAATGAGTGCAATCATCTTTGAATCTATACCTTATAGTCATGTCACTCTTTCATTTCAAATAGCTATGCCATTTCTTTTGGTATTTTATATTGCCTAATTTTTTCTCCATTTTTCTAGGCCTTACTCTAAAAAAAAAAATCAGCATGACATCCAATATAAATTCAATGCATGGCAGTTTCTAGGCCAATCTGATCCCACTTAATAACATTATTCTATGACAAAAATTGTTTACCTAACATAAACACCACAGCCTCCCACAGCTCGAGCGACTGCATGAAACTCAGCTGCATAGTGGCGGCTCTGAAAATTTAGGAAAAGTTAATACTTGAGATAAACATAAAGAAGTAGAATTTTGTGATGGGTAAATCTGAATCTTACATAGAACATGTCCCAATCTGGGACTACAATTTCACCAAGAAATATGCTGTTAAAAGCCACTGCAGCTATGTGCAATGTCTGTGATGCTTGGTTTTTTGGCCAGTAATCATCAGATGCTCTGGTGATAGAACTTTTTTTTGAACTGAAATGGAAAATGTAAGCAGAAATTAAGGTATGATATGAAACTTTAGAAGGAAGTAGCGATGATAAAAACCTCAGGAAGCCCCATCCAATGAAATCTTTAGAGCTTAGTTGGTGAAATTAGAAGATAAATCAGTTTATAGTTTTATACTAGTACATAACATAAGAATGTATTTCTATATGAAAAGGAATACATGGTTCCCATGAAAGTCATTTCAGCCCATGGAAGGAATGGAAACTGCAATTTGATTGATTGGCAATAATTCTTGATAGCAAACAGGATGCATGTAGCCAACCCCATATATTTGGGATAAGACATGGATGATTATGATGATGAACATAAGAAAATGCTTCATGTATATGAGCGTCGTGCATGGGATCTGAAATAGTTAACCTATCTCTAACACGTATTTGAATTTATATATCGATGATATCCTATGAGAATAAGAAAACGGTTCAAACATCAAATTATTATTTTTCCAAAAAAGAGTTTCAGCTTATGTCCAACATGCACTCACTCTCACGAATAAAATGATGCATATGATTACATGGGATATTGGGTATTAGTAAAATATATTTGCATGCTGCCCCCCCCCCCCCCCCCCCCTCTTTCTCCCTCTCTCCTCGTATGTGTGTGTACAAGTGAGAGTGCATGCACGTGTGTGTAGACACATGAAAACAAACTAAAGACATGCAATGATGCATGTAATTGAATGGTATTAGTTCCATTACTTATAAATAGAATCTGTACTTTGAGCCATGCAGCAGATTATGCTGTTATCCTTGAAGTTTGCAGCTATTGACTTCTCGAGTGCCTGCTGGAACTTTTGGGTGAGTGATACTCGACCTCCCAAATCAGTTGCTATTGTTTCCAGAATGTTTTGTACATCTACCTTAACCCCATCCACATCTTGAGAAACCAGATATCTGTGTAGATCATCATAAAATTCAAAAATTTTATCTGGATCAATGGTACCAACACCATATTTCTCCATGCAATCCATGGATATATCCCTCATATTAGCTAAATTTCCAGGTGACTGTACTGGGTATCTCAATTTCGACTTATATTTCTTAGTTCCAGGGGCATCTGGATGAACTCCCCCCCAGTACCCCATCAGTGCATGCCATACATAGACGTACCTGAAAATTTTAAGAAAAATACAAGTTACCATCAGTAAACCTCCTACATATTATTAGCAGTTAGAAAATATAAATTGCTCATGAGTAGGAGGACATTGAAGGATAGTCACTATATAGCGTAACTCTAACTCTATATATGGTGCATGTACAAGGGGATTTCCTAGTTGCAAAAGTGAGTGTCAAATTCCTATGCATCTAAATTTTTGCAAGCTTCAGTTGGTTAGAATTATTTGATGATCAGGTTAAATTTGGAGCAGGAAAATCTCCCAACAGGAGCAACGGAATGGTAGGTCTTTGGGGTGCATACCAGCATGGTATGGCACCCTTATGGTGTACTCCATGGTTATCTTTGACTTACATCATGATGAAAGAAAAGCTCAAAAGAGTCAGTACTGAAACCATACTTCAAACCAAACTCCTTTTTAATTTCAGACACAAAATCCTTTAGGTCTGTTGCTGCTTCATTTTTCCGAAATTTGGTGTTTTCCTTGATGCTGACTAATCTGGCCCCAAATCTGCAATTGACAAAAATGGGATTAGATAATATGTTGGTAGTATCTAAATTAAATGATTACAAGAAAAAGGTGGTGGATAATCATACTGTGATCCTTCAGGAAAGGGCTCTCCATCTTTCTGGAATTCATTAGTTGTATCTTGCCACCCATCATCTATTATTAGGAATCTTGCTGGAGTGCCCCCTTCAGATAAGCTGAACTAGACAAAAGAAAATAAGAAAATATGAAAAGTCATAACATGTCGTTCGGTGAAGATATAGGAAGAAAAAAAGAATATGCATGAAGAATGACAATAAGCACAGTGGAACACTTCCACAGATTCACCTCTTTAAGCCATCTTTGATTCCCTGAGGATTAACTTCTGTATAAAAAGCATCCCAGGTGCACCAACCAAACCAATCCAGCATTCCAGGCATCTGTTTCAGTAAACAACAAAAAGTCCATTTTTCTTGGGATCTGTTAATTTTACAACATGACTAAATTGAACGTCTAAATAAACAAAATGGAATGATTTAAGTGAGATATCTACTTGCCTTCTTGGATTCACGAAGTGAAAAGGTCCCTTTGTGCTTCTCCAACATCCTGATTATGATCAAAAGTCCATGGTCAATTGATGTGAGGAAAAAAGCCAATGATCTCCCTAGTTCCCACACCACCACTAACATTAAATCAATCCATCTCTTGGGGACGATGACAAAATTGTCAACTAATCCCACAGTTTGGACTCCTCTTGTATGATAACTACAATAATATAATGGCCATGATCAGCGTTCCACCTGCAGCCTGCAGGAAGGTTTTGACTCTAGAAATTTTTGAAATGTTTAAGAAATTCGAATATTTCTGTAAAAGGTTGCCAACCTACTTCATGGACTCCTTCATGAGATCAAATGGATTGTCTCCACTATTCACAAAAACTGCTTTTAAAGACTGAGATGCAATAATAGTTGGATCACCTACAGAATATAAAAGAGACCCATGTAGTTAGACCATGAATGAGACGTAGTGTACAACAAAGACTAGAAAAAAATTGAGAGGAAGATAGGTTTAAAGAATTTATTCTGCTATAAATATGTTTTACACTTGTCACATGTAGTGAGGTTGGGACCCTCCACTCCATCCAATCCATTGAGCAGAATACCCATCTCAAAACTGAACCAGAATATAAGCCATCCAAGATTTTTTTTTCTTAATGTTTGTGCAACAATGGCCAGTGTCATCCCATCAATTGACATCATGCTTATCAGATCCCCTCAGAGAGATCTGATGGTGGATTCCAATTTCTCTGCACTGTTCCACATATCATAAATAATTAGAACCAGAACCCATAAACAGCTTACCACTCTCAACACACAACTCAAGCTCTTTTGCAGAATTCCCCTGCAAACTGCTTCTAAATTCTCCATCTAGCACAGGCAAGAAGAGAATATAGGATGTAGATCTATCAGAAGCAGCAATAGTTTCTTCTTCCTTTGCTTCCATGAGCAACATCTGTGTCTCAATGGGAACATCACTTCCAGAGGTCCCCATCCTAGGTATCATCCACCAAATCTTAAATCGAAACAAGCAAAGCAATCTGACATCCCTGTATCACAAATACAAAGTTTATTCCATCAACTGTTCCTCCAGTTCTCCTATAAATTCTCTTCCAATAACAGCAGTATATGGTAGTATATTTTTCTGTAATTTATTTTTCAAATAATGAAACTGAATAACAAATTAAACTGATTAAAGTTTGCCTTGCAAATTTTGACATAGCATGACAAAACATTGAGAAAAAAGTACAAGGTATTAAATTACTAATTAGGATCATGCAGGAAACTTGGTAATGGGTGGGGAAGATTAACGGCTAAGAAGGGCCATTACCCTCCCGGCTATCCAGGGTCTTGGGAGGGGTAGACTGGATATGGACCTACTTTTGGTTTTTTTTTTCCACAAAGTGGCCACTCTCAGGCCCAAACTCTCATTTTCATGCAGAGGTCTGCAAATGGTATCCATTTCTCCAAATTCAAATTCAAAATTGATCCATTTAAAGGTGATGATATGGTTCCACCTCTATCTGATCCAATTTAAATGCACAGACATTCAATATCTGATTAAAATCCAAATTCAAATTCAGTCTGATATTAATCCTGTAGAGAAGACCAATTTGAATCCAAAAATTAATAAATTACATTTGGGTCCTGATATATTTCACCGGATACAATCCGTTTGCAGCCCTACTTGCATGTCGGCCCAAGATTTTACCATTGCACCAAGTAATGATCCCTGGGGACAATCCACAGCTAATGTTGAAAATGAGAGCAACTCAAAGCTCTTTTTAGTTTGGATGGTCAGAGAGAACATACTAAAAGCAAATCCATAAACACAAAGGGTAAAACAACAAAATTAGGGCTAGATAGGTGAGTTTATATGGTCAACCTGACCTTTCATGGTTAAGCCCATTTGAGAACAAGCGATCAAATGGTGGGTCCTCTCTTCTTGTACACATGTACATCTATGTTTTCCCCCAAAACAGAGCAATGCATCTAAAAAGGCGGACCATATATCATCTCCTGGAAAGTAAGAAAGGCATATCTACATATCTATATAATCTGAAAGTGGACCTAATTTCCCGGCAGCAAATCTTTCAGTGTAGACCTATATCTTTAATGAAAATCGGGTTTCATTGTAAAGCTCATTACATAAAAATAACCAGGATAATGAAAGGCCTTTCTACTCCAACATACATGTACATCTGTTAAATGAGCAAAAACGTAAATAGTAGCGATAGAAAACACTGAATACCAAAAGAAGCAGATCCGGAAGTCTAACAGATACCGAAACACAGGATATTCCATTCACCAATTAATAAAAGGGAAAAATGGCCAAAAATTCTGATAGAAAAATGTCGGTACCAAAGAAGCAGTTCTCAATTGCCCTGTCAGCCGTCACCAAATGAAGGATCTATTACTGAATAAATAGAAAATATCATATTCCTAAAACATCTTGAGAAGATCTGCGATAGTACACTCTTACCGATAAAGAAACCTATGGAAGCTGAATCTCAAAATGGACATAAAACGGAAGTAGTGAAGAGGAAAAATAAAAGATAACTTACTGAATCACTCCCAGCTTGAAAACATGCCGGCAACTCTTATGAGTTGAAGTTGCACCGACAAAAGCTGAAGCATTTTCCCATGGAGTAACAATGACATTGTCTGGAACGCAAGTGAGCGCATTTTTTCCGTTAATCCTCAAAATCCCATCGTTGATGGCGGGCATTTCGCTTAAACTCATAGAGTGCTTCCATGTCTTGTGCAAATGAAGACTTGCTTTGGATAAAATCCTATTATGATTTGGGGACAGAAAGTGCGAAAAGCGGGCATTGAGGGGCAGAGATCTAAGAGATGGAGAAATCATGGTGTTTCTTCTCAGCAAACTGGTCTGGTGAGTGTTGAAACTTCGACCGTTGGAAAACAGTTAGGATAATCCCGGGAACATAAGAAAAGAAACAGGAGGCAATTAGTAGCGGAAAAGGTTTGTGACGGGAATCGGCAATTGTTCCCCAATGGAGAGATGACTCGTGCACTTTCTTTCTTTTTTTTTTAATTATTTATTGTTATTATTAATTTTCTTCCTTCCACAGTCCACATATGTAGTTCTCATATTTTTTATCCACATTTTCTTTATGGATCAAGGGCAAGACATAACAAGAGGAGACCGTATCTGCTCCTCACACCGACCTCACACGCATATCCCGGGAGATGTTCCCAATGCATGGTAGGATATGCGTGTGAGGCACCCTCTGTGAGGAGTAGAACTGGTCTCTAACAAAAATAGGGCGAGTATACTGCTGTTGGGCCAAATTAGATTTTCTGCCCACTATTCTCTACCCACACTCCACCTGCCTTGAATGGTTATGTTGTGAGATGCGTGGCTGCAGTGTGCTGTGAGTAGCGTACAGGTAGAGAAAATGAATAAGAAATCTAGGTAGGCAGGTCAGGAATTAGGATGGACTCCTTACAGAGCATGCCACACTTAGGGTCTGTTCGGTTCGAGGGAATAGGACCCTGGAATCAGAATCGGAATGACCCATTCCGATTCCGGATGTTTGGTTGAATAGAATGGAAATGAGGAATCAGAATGCCATTCTCCCATCTCGACCCCCTCCCCCGAAATGTGATTCCCATTCCGCTATTAGTTTTCATTTTTTTTTTCTTTTTGGACAAAAAACCCCTCCAATCCAATCTACGATTGAGTTGCGGTGAGAAGGAAGAATCTCATGCCGTTGTCGTTACTGTCATCAACCCCATCTCCGGTGAGGAGGTCGATCTCTTCTCTCTTTCCTCTCTCTTCTTCTTCTTCTTCTTCTTCTTCTTCTCACATTCCCTCCCTCTATCCTGTCCTTGTTGATGCAATGGTCATTGTAGCAATAGATTGAACCGAAATCCCTCTCTTCTGATCTCTCTTCCCCCATTTTCCTTTCTCATTCTCCCATTTCCCCTATTTTTTCCTGATTTCCTTTATCATTCCTATCACTCTTTTGGCGAGCAAAGCACAACATTTATGGATACTTGTTCATCGTGTTCCTCGATGAGACGACAATCTAGTAGCGACGCGAATCCAACTTTCCTACATATATTCATCAATTTTTTGTCGTTTCTGGGTCTACTCTCGTCTACCATCGGTTTCGTCAGTTTTCCAAGGACTCCCCTGTTATTGTTCTTTGTCGCATGTTAAGAAAAACCATCTATAACGAAAATCGCTTGAGAGAATCCATCTTTCTTCCAGATTTCAAGCAGAGTCCATGTCAGTGAGGTTGTCTTCTCCTGTGAATTGCCCCCGTCCACACCCTGATTGTCATTGTGGCTCACAACAAACAACCTAAGGTGAAAAATCAACTAAAACCCATCTTTATTGCATCGATCAAGTCTAGGCCAAATCCCAACTCAGGTAAATACGACTTTCACTACGTTTTACTTTGATTTTTTCTAAATTTGCTGAATTTGTTGCTTTTTTCTGAATTTTGAGTATTTTAATGCTTTTTTTTTAATTTGTTGCAAAATTATTGTAATTTTTGCACTTTTTCTGCAAAATTTCTGCATTTTTGGTATTTTCATCCGTTTTTTGCTTTTTTATTTTTATTAGGGGCAAAATTGGAAATCATGGTTGGTTCCGATTCTAGCCTCTTGATAAACCAAACAGCATCAATCGAAATCCAATTCGATTCTTGTTTGAACCAAACAGGTAGGGAGAATAAGCCATTCCGATTCCGATTCTGATTCCAAGGGATTCTCATTCCAATTCTGATTCCGATTCTGATAACGAACCAAATAGACCCTTAGTTTTCCAATAGTTTTGCTATATTTGGTCTTGTACAATTCATTAAGTAAGAAAAATCCAATTATACTTACATACTCCTTTTGTGAAATGGGTTCTCCTACATTTTTCCTTAAATGAATATTGTAAGTGGTGTGGTAAAGCTAAGTGTGGTGGTCCCCTTGAAGGACAAAGGAAGGCTAAGAGAAATGGTAGGTTGCAAACTTCTATCAATAGAGTCATGTGTTCGTTATGAGTCATGCCACCTTTTTATAGGGAGAGATCTCGAGGTCTTGAAGGGAAGGAGCCAAAAAGGATTTGACTCCTGTTTGGAAAGGGGATCTTTGGTTCAGTATCGGTTGTCAGAGGGGCACTGCTAAGGGTTCGCTACGCGTCTTATGAAATCTCTCCAGGATAAGGTTTCCCTTTCGTCTGAGGATTCTCATAATACACATGTGCCACTTCCTTTTGCGGGTTGCCTATATTAACGTGGCGTGGGTGGCATCATGACTAGTCTGACGTATCCTACTTAATCCTACCAGATGTCTTGTTACGAGCGATTTTGGCTGATCTTTGTATTTTTGTTCATCTCCAGTCCGTGATGGCTTTAAGCTCATTGGAGGTTCATGATGGCTTTGAGCTTATTGCAGGTTCATGGTGGCTTTGAGCTCATTGCAGGTTCGTAGCGGGTTGTGAACTCGTCGTGTGTGTTTGTTGGCTTGTGTGTCACCGTGGGTGTTTTTGTGGCTTTGGTTTGGTACCTTCATTGCCATTGTAGTCATGGTGAGAAACATGTACTTACAAATACTTGAAGCAAGTAGTGTCTTGATTGGTTTACATTCATAATGTTCATACTTTCTGAGTATATTTTTTACATAATGGGATTGTGATAGGATAATATTTCCTTGTTGTTTGTGGATTTTAAATCCTAAGATAACATCAATTTCACCCTTGTCCTTAGTGTCAAATTTAGACATTAGAAACTACTTTGTTTCATTTACTTTATCAAGACATGTTCCCATTATTAATATATCATCAATAAGAAAATGATAACTCCTTTATCATCTGTAAACTTGTTGTGGACACAACTATTGGAATCATTTCTACTATACCCATTTGTCATTAACACATTGTCAAACTTTTCATGCCATTGCTTGAGGGCTTGGTTTAAACTATACAAAGACTTAATTAATTTACACACTTCGTTTTCTTGTCCTGTAACTATGAATCCTTTAAATTTCTTAATATAAACTTCTTCATCTAATTCTCCATTTAAGAAAACCATTTTTGCATCCATTTGGTGAACTACAAAATGGTATATGGATGCTATAGCAAACAAGACTAATTGTAGTTGTAAGTGGGGTGGTAAGGCAACAAGAGATGGTCTCCTTGAAAGAAAAAGGATGACCAAAAGTTTGTGAGAGGAAAAGGATGTAAGGGAGTGGGAAGCAAAAGGTTGCAAGGAGGCAAGAGGTAGGGGAACTCAGGAGAAGCTAAGGATCTTGAGACAAATCTATTCTTTATACCTCTGAGTCTTCCTTTTTTATAGAGAAGATCCCGAAGCTATAACGAGAAATATACAAATAAGGACTTTTCTCGTTAGGAAAGAGGATAATAATTCTCTAGTCTTTAATAGGTAAACTCTTCTAGGGTTTCACCACATGTCTAGTGAAGATCTTCTAGGACTAGGATTCTCTTTTCCCTTAGGATTTTCATGTGGAACGTCTTGGCTACAATCCTTTTGAAGTTTTCCCGTGGTCACGTGCTAAGGATAAAGTTCTTTTAGGATGATGATGCATCTGGATGACTTGGTTGTTGCGATGAAGCAAGTCATCGTGGCTCATTGTAGAGGACATGAAGGCATACTCCATTTGTTGGGGTTACAATTGGTCGTGGGTGATGTATATGGCCTATCGCAAGTGTAAACAACCACATTTACTATTTTGGATCAATCCTCAATTATCATTGGGGTCCACAATGGTGTTTGGCCATCAAAACCATGAATTAGTATAATGCCTATCACAAATGTTTTAGTAACCTCTTTCGTATCACCACAACTCTTATCGCAAGGTCAATCCACTATATGCTCATGGTTCAAGGTCCTCATCATAATCTTTGCGACGTCAAGCTACATGTACTTACAATTAGCCCCCTACTTATTGATAGGAGTATATTTTGTCAATAAGAAAAATTGTTGGCTCCTTTGGCTTTTGCGTTGTATCACCCTACTTTCATTAAAAATGGGTTTAGTAGTTCTAATATGTCTTTTGGAATTAGGATTGAAATTGTTTGTTTGCACTAGGCTTTCTACGAGGACTAGTATGTAAGTAGAAGGAAAAGGGAAATATGTATGTTAGTCTGGAATAGATGATCACTTTTGAGTCCAAGCGTAGTGGCTCTCCATAGGTTGTTGGTTTCGTTATTGGGTATATGTTAAATGACACCGGGTGAATGAATTTCATGTATTATAAATTGTTTTTGCCTCTTGTACTGATTAGCCTCCTGCTTACTAATAGAAGTAATTATGTCAATAAACAAATAAACTTGTAGTTCCCAAAATGTTTGTGGGTAATCGATGGCCTCCGTGGTATGTGATTAATCTAGACAATGTTTCAACTATGGGATGAACTGGTTGGGGTTACGCCATTGTTAACACCCGATTTTTGCTCGGTCTATACCCATAATTCATCCCAAACACCTGATTAGACCATTACGATCTCTCTAAAATACAAAAAAAAAACACCCAAAGAACCTGAATTTCAACCTAGAAAAGCTCAAATCCACCATTAAATCTACCTGATACCTATCTGATGGTCTCGATTAACCCCCATTTACACCTTGACCATTATATCAGACTCCACCACCAAACTTAGGACCTCCTAAAATACCTACCCATGAAATTTCAACATGAGATTCCTTCGTTTACTCCTCTATCACACCAATATTCCCTTTGAGCCCTCTCATTGACCTAAACACTCGTAATCCAGATCCCCTTGATCAAAATACATATAGACCAATTAAACCATATCATTGAACCCTAGACACACCAAAACATCTACCCTCAAAGTTCTAATCAAAATTTCCATAATTTACCCGTTCACTAAACCAAGGTTCTTTTTCAGATCCTCTTATTGACCCAAATTTCCATTATCTTGATCCTCTGAAACCAATAAGAATTACTATCAGATTCCAAACATCCTAAAGTCCCTACCTACCAAATTTTATCTTGAAATACCCATATATATCTCTTCATCATCGAAG